TTCTTTGGCTCTGAACCCTTAGGGTCCTTGTTAAAATGTAATCAGTTCAATCAAGTGCCAAAAGATGAGCAAGGACATTTCAGAGGACATTTGACAGGCCTGAAGAAGCTCCCATTGGCCAAATGTAAACTCCCTTGTAGGACATGTTATGTACTAACAGAGTATGACAGAGTAGATTTGAAAAAAAAATAACCCACAAGTCTACAGGAGCACTAGGAAGAACACCCCTACCCTCCTGAATATAAGACGGGGTTTTACTATGTGGCTCTAATCAGCTTTGGACTCATGATGGAGGGCCTGAAATTTCCCACGCTTTTGCCACCAGTTTCTGAAACTCTGGAATTATAGGCCACTGAGCTCATCCTGAGAAATAAAGAGCTTGCTTTTTATACTGGGGTGGGGGTGCGTGCACACCACATTGCATGCATGAGATCAGACCTTTCTGTCTTGTTTGAGACAGGTCTTTCTTGAGAAATGGCTTTTTATTATTATTTTAAACATTTTTCTTTTATAGTTTATTTATTTTTATTCTACGTGCGTTGGTGTTTTGCCTAGATGTATATGTGTGAGGGTGCCATATTTTGGAGTTTCAGACAATTGTTAGCTGCCATGTGGATGCTGGGAACTGAACCCAGGTTCTTTGAAAGAGCAACCAGTGCTCATAGCCACTGAACCATCTCTCCAGCCCTTATTATTATTATTTTTAACAGAATAGAACCAGCAAATAAATTTAGAAGAATGGTAGAATTCTTTTAAAAAAAGTCGCTGGGTGGTGGTGGCACATGCCTTGAATCCCAGCACTCAGGAGGCAGAGGCAGGCAGATCTCTGTGAGTTGAGGGCAGCCTGGTCTACAAATAGAGTTCAAGGATAGTCAGGGCTTTTATATAGAGAAACCCTGTCTCAAAAAAAAAAAAAAAGTCTTGTTTTACAGCTGTAGTCACCTCTGAAATAACTAACAGAGGTGAGGCACACCTATGATGCCAAAACCTCCAAATGCACCAATGCTGTCTAACAAGGTAGCTGTACGTTCTTTAGAGAAAAGGAGGGACATGCCAATCACAACCCAGGTGCTTTATCTAACTTAGCACCCCCAGTCAGGGACAAACTTCGATTATTTGTTTTCTGGACTGATGCGACGTGAAAACCTCATTTTTGTGTTGCTTTTACCTTGTTTCCAAACAAATCTAGAGTAAGCCGTTTTAAAATATTGTCATGAAAGTCTAATGCCACCTCTAAGGTGTGGAAGCTCCGCTGGACTAAAGAGGACTAACGCAGCATAAAGACCCAAAGCAGTGAGTGGATTCAGAACACAAGGGGTCGTTCTGTGAACAGCCAAGGAACTGGAGATGCACTGTACATTTACATTAGCACATAGTATTATTCACAGGCCTGGAGAGATGGCTCCGTGGGGAGAGGTGCTAGCCACCAACACTGACAATCTGCTTCCTCCCAGGACCCACTGGAGAGAACTGACTCCCATAAGTTGTCCTCTGCCCTCCATACCTGCACCATGGCACATACACACACAGCCACACCCATAAATAAATTAACATGTACTAAGAAAATCTAAATCTCAGGGGTGGATGATGGTGTCTGAGAACCCCTGCTCTGAGGTGCCGTTTCGGGGTATCTGTGATGTACTTCCTTATGGTTCAGTCCCCGAGGCTGCCCTGGTCTTCAGATGCCAGTCAAAAGGCCCAGGTTGGGGCAGTAGAGGTGGTGCATCTGTCAAGAGCACTTTGGTGCTTTTGCAGAGGACAGGGGTTCCATTGTCAGCACACACAGAGCAGCTCCCATTGCTAACCTTCAGTTCTAAGGGATCTGACACGCTCTTGTGGCCTCTGCAGGCATCAGACATGTACATGGTACATATACATATATGTAGGTAATGTATACACACAAAGGAAAATAAACAGCTCTGTTTTTAAGAAGTCTCAGGTTGTCCCCATGCTTTTGACTGTCTGGCCACACGTCACAAGTCACCACGCCCTACTCTTTATACTCCACTGATTTGCTAGAACAGATCATGAAACACATCGAGACACTTGCCTTACAGCTACCCATTCATGAGGATCTTGCACATCCTGCAGATGGACACCGGAGGAAGACAGACTCAGGAAGAGGGCCATGGGAGGGCTACTCTGGTCCCGTTGTGTGTGGGAGGCACATTCTGTCCCCACTACTGCCAGCCACTTGGCTTTCTAGTTGAGCCTAGTTGTGAGTGTTTGAGCTTTGAAGTCTTCTGCCCACACATAGCGTTTTATCCTCTCTGGGTGAGCTGCCCTGCGGCTTCTGGGTGTTTGACACTCCAGGTCTCTGTGAGCACTGTCCTTTAGGGTCTTCCAAGTGCTTCTCTCTGAGTGACTTTGGTGAGTGACTGGGTGCAGACCACTGGGGAGCAGCCACCTCCCCACCCCGGAGGCTGGGAGAGGCCTTAAAGTTCCAATATTCCAATCACTCTTTGCCTTTCCGGGTGACCAGTCCTGAAACTATCTGAAGGTCGCCAGCCTCCAGTCGTGCCCAGAGACTCACCGTCACTCAGGTCACTCTGAAGAGTCCAGGGTCACTCTAAAGAGTCGTCCAGGGTTTTAGGAGCAGGGCGACAGGAAGTGGAGACGAATCAAATATCTGTTCCCTATTGTATCATAGAAGGAGGAAGTAAATGCTTTCTTTCCTACTGCTTGGCAGAATCACTCTAGACCACTTGAAATCACTTAAAATTATCACCATTTTAAGATTTTTACTAAGTTTGTTTATTAATTTTGTGTGGAAAAGGAATGCATGGATGCACACACATTCCATGGGGCTGTGTGGAGCCCAATGGACAACTTGAAGGAATGAGTTCCCTTCCACCATACGGGTCTCAGGGACTGAGCTCAGGCCATCGGCCTTGGTGACAAGTCCCTTAGCCCACTGAGCCATCTCTCCAGCCACCCCCCATCATTTTTTAAAAGCATGAAATCCATTGCACTGCTTTGGTTACCCAGCCAGGCCTTAGGGAATGGGTACAAGTGGGATACTATTCTCAATGGCGGAAGACACTAGAACGCATCCGGAAACATTACATGTGGGGTTACTTATAGGTGACATTGTGGATCCGGTGCAGTGGGCACCAGAGGATGAGAAAGCTAAACAGGAAGAGGTAGAAACTGAGTGATAAAACCACCACTGCCACAAGCAGCATAGGGAGGAAGCGTGTGTCTCCTCCTCTTCTGCATCTCAGCCTACCTTTAATGGAAGTCAGAGGCAGGAATTCAAAGCAGGAACCTGGAAGTAGGAACTGAAGCGGGGGCCAGGTAGGAACACTGCTTACCAACTTCCTGGCTCACAGTTGGCTCAGTCTGCTTCCGTCTACACTCCAGGACCATTCCAGAGGTTACACTAGCCACACTGTGCTGGGTCTTCCCACGCCAATCATCAGTCAAGAACATGCACCACAGGCTCGCCCACCGTCCAATCTAGTGGGGTGTTTTCTCTTTCTAGATGACTCCAGTTTATATCAAGTTGACACAAAACTAGACAGCCTGCCATTCGCTCTCCTATCTCTAGCCTTCCTGTGTGTGGGAGGCGCCTCTCACATTCTGTCCCCTTCACTGCCAGTCACTGGCCTTCTAGTTGAAGTCAGATGCCCATGTGTAAACCTCAGCTCTGCAGAGTGAGTCCAGCCAGGCTTCTCAATCGTGATGAGCCTAGGCTTAACCGCTGATTAACTGGATGAATGCGGTTGCTTCAATAGCATGAGCCTGCTGCCTGGTGTGCGCTGTGCCACACAGTACCTATTTAGTACTTGTGAAACACACCTGTGCTCAATGTAGGCCATGCTGTGCCCTCACACGGCCAGCGGAAATCTCTGCTGCTGCTGCTGCCTTGTCCAACCCTGCACCCATACCAGCTGATCATCAAGCTTAGTCTCATGTACTTCCTATTGCAGGTCCTAAATCACCCCATCCTTTATTTATTTTATTCGTTTACTTTTATTTTATATGCATTGGTGTTTTGCTTACAGATAAGTCTGTGTGAGTGTGTCAGATCTTGGAGTTACAGACAATTTGTTAGCTGCCATGTGGGTGTTGGGATTTGAACCCTGATCCTCTGGGAGAGCAGCTGAGCCATCTTTGCAGGCCCACCCTTTCTAATTTCTTGTCTCTCTCTTGTAATAAACACCTGGTGGCCTCTCTTTTTCCCACGCTTACCCCCAGGTCCCAAGCTGGTCTCCATGGCCAATATTAGCATCATCATAGATTTAGCGTAAGGTACCCTGTCGTTCCCATGATGTCTGAGCTCCTGACATGCCTAGACTCCTGTCTAGGTCTCTAGCTTTGTATCCTAAGCTCTGCCCAGGGCTCCTTGCCTTCCAGTGATCTGGCCACCTTCAAACACACCTTGATCACCCTCTGGACATAGGCTTCAGACCTCTGTTTGCAGAGGTCTACCAAAGATGTCTACCCCACATTTTCCTTCACAGCGCTTCCTCCTCTTGCCTGTCCGCTGGGTCTGAGCTCAAATGGCATTCTCTCATGCAGGTCTTCCCAAGCCGTTTATTTTTTTCTTTTCTTTTTTTTTTAAACATTTATTTATTTATTTATTATGTATACAATATTCTGTCTGTGTATATGCCTGCAGGCCAGAAGAGGGCACCAGACCTCATTACAGATGGTTGTGAGCCACCATGTGGTTGCTGGGAATTGAACTCAGGACCTTTGGAAGAGCAGGCAATGCTCTTAACCACTGAGCCATCTCTCCAGCCCCCCCCCCCCAAGCCGTTTCGTATCCCCCTCTACTGCTCACTGTTAGCCTTGCTTATTCTCATCAGAGCACTGGCCATTAACAAGAAACAGGTTGTTATGATCACTGGTCCCTAGTCTTCCAGCCCTTGCTGAATTATAATAACAGACCTGAGGGGGAGGGGGACTCTGCGCCTTTTCAGCTGGCATGCAATAGGTGCTCACCAAGACACTGGTGAGTTGATTCAAGTGTAGATTCAAATGTGTGCCTACAGGTCATGGGGTGTCACTGTACATCCCCCGGTCAGCCATCAATGCCACGGTCCAGGAAGACATCCTGCTCTCGGTGGAGTACTCCTGCCATGGAGTGCCCACAATCGAATGGAAGTACACATCAAACTGGGGTGAGCAGAAGATAGTGGAGTGGAAGCCGGGGACCCCAGCCAATGTCTCCCAAAGCCACACAGACAGAGTCTGCACCTTCGACAATGGTTCCATCCAGCTCTTTGGTGTGGGCGTGAGGGACTCTGGCTACTACATCATCACTGTCACGGAGCACCTGGGGAGCAGACAGTTCGGCACGATCATGCTGCATGTGTCTGGTAAGAGAGCCCAGGGCTCCCTGAATTACAGGCCCAGGCGGGCGACTTTGTAGTAGAGAGAGACCTTACCTTCCCTCCTGTCCCACAGAGATCCGCTATGAAGACCTCCACTTTGTCGCTGTCTTCTTTGCTCTGCTGGCCGCTGTGGCTGTGGTGCTCATCAGCTTCATGTGGGTCTGCAACCAGTGTGCACACAAATTCCAGAGGAAGAGGAGACACAAGCTCAGAGGTGACGCTTGAGGCCTTGCGATGATCCCTTCATAGGGGACAAGAACGCAGAGGTGATGCTCTGGGCCTTGTGATGATCCCTTCATAGGGGACACAAGCTCAGAGGTGACACTCGAGGCCTTGCGATGATCCCTTCATAGGGGACAAGAACACAGAGGTGATGCTCTGGGCCTTGTGATGATCCCTTCATAGGGGACACAAGCTCAGAGGTCACGCTCTGGGCCTTGCGATGATCCTTTCATGTGTCTGAGGCCAGAGGTGGCACCTGTTACCTCATTTGCTGTAAGAAACCATTGTGTGGTAGGCTTTCAAACTCTTGGTGTGTGTGTGTGTGTGTGTGTGTGTGTGTGTGTGTGTGTGTGTGTCAGAGGTTAACACTGGGGGTCTTCCTCAAACACACTCCACCCCTTATTTCTTTGTTTTTCTTTCTTTCTTTCTTTTTTTTTTTTTTTTTTTTTTGGTTTTTCGAGACAGGGTTTCTCTGTAGCTTTGGTGCCTGTCCTGGAACTAGCTCTTGTAGACCAGGCTGGCCTCGAACTCCCAGAGATCCGCCTGCCTCTGCCTCCCGAGTGCTGGGGTTAAAGGCATGCACCACCACCGCCCGGCTTCCACCCCTTATTTCTAAGGCAGTTTCTCCGACTTGGAGATCACTGGCTGCCCAATAAATCCTGGACTTTGTTGTCTCCACCGATACCCTGACACTGGGATTACAGATTGGGGGTTTCTGCATGGGTTCTGGGGCTCTGGCTTGAGGTTCTTATGATTGCGCATTTAACCAGCTGAACCATCTCCCCAACCCTTTGACTTGTCTTTTCCTTCGCAGAAAGCACCACCGAGGAGCTTGAAATGAAAGATGTTGAGTGTTAGCCAAGACTGTGCCCAATTACACTGCTACCTCAAGAGAAAAACAGTATTTTCCAGTTGGAGGAACAGACAGAGGCAATCCTCGCCGCAGCCTCTGGCCATCCTTTTCTGACAGAGACAGCTGCAAGATCAGAAAGCTGTTGGGGGAGCCTGAGGCTACGACTCACTATAGGAAGCCGCTCTAGGACTTGCACGTAGGAACAGACCAACTGAGGCTTTAGGCCGGGAACTTTTCTCAATTGCAGCTTCAGAACCGCACTGATCCTTAACCAATGACACCGGCAGGCACCAGAAGCTGCTTGCAGTACTGGCTCTGATCCCATGCTGGCCTGCTGGAGGAGTCCCTGTCCCCAGGGTCAGAGTGTCTGCAGAGAGGCTCATTGCAGCCTGCGTTGGGACGTGCTCTCTGTGTCTGCCCGCAAACTGCTGCAGCTTCCGTCTCCATCCTCCGTTGCATACACACGACTGTGCAGACAGTGTGAGCAAGCCTGAGGCTCTGAGCCGGTCTCGTGAGGTCGAGTGCTGCACCTCAGGGAGCCGAACTGAGTACACCAGGGAAGCAGAAGATGGCGTTCCCATCCTCTCTCACACAAAATTAATCAGGTGGCCTAACCTTGGGTTTAGTGTGAGGAACGTGCGACTTGTGTTGACCAAGGCAGTTCGATGGGGGGTACAAAGGAAACTACTGTAAGGTCAGGCTTCCTTCGGTTTCATCCTATCCAGTCACCAACGCTCGGCCTCCAGTCAGATCCCGGGCTAAAGATGTGGCCACGCCTACCTCACAGGGCATGAGGAGAAGCCACCATTAGGCTTCTCGGAGTGATTAAGAAAAGCATGAGAGGGCTGGAGAGATGGCTCAGTGGTTAAGAGTATTGCCTGCTCTTCCAAAGGTCCCAAGTTTAATTCCCGGCAACCACATGGTGGCTCACAACCATCTGTGATAAGGTCTGGCGCCCTCTTCTGGCCTGCAGACATACACACAAGTAGAATATTGTATACATAATAAATAAAAAAATATGTATTTAAAAAAAAAGAAAGAAAAGCATCAGAATCCCTGAAGCATCTGGAAAGCTATGTAGGAAAGTGCTGTATTGAGTAGTAGCGGTCTGAGGCCCTGGGATGGAGCCAGAGAGAAGGTTCAGCACTAAGCGCCCTTGCGCTCTCACAGAGGACCCAGATTCAGTTTCGAGTGCCCACACGGTGGCTCATAACCGTCTGTAACTCCAGTTCCAGGGGATCTGATGCTCTCTTCTGGTCTCCATGCATGCACATGGTGTACACATATACATAAATAAAATTTAAAAAATAAATTAATTTCTTTTTCACTGACATGGGATATCATGGCTCCAGCTGAGCTCTGGGTTGGTTGGTTGGCTTCGGGTCTCTTCTGAGCCTCCATTCGCCAGGCTACAGCAGCAGGCAATGCCCCCTTCTCGCTTCTGTAGCCACAGCAGATTAAAGCTCCCGCTCCGCCATGATGTGCAGGCCCTTGACTGCAGTCATGCAAACAAAGATAAAATGCGCTACAACATTCTTTTTATTCTCCCTCCTTTCGGGTCTCCAATGCCCTTATCTGTTCAACTTTCCATGCGGCGGGTAAGGAATTGTTGCTAAAATTCCTTTCCTTGGGGAGATATAAACATTGACTTCCTCTCTTCAAATCCCAACAACCAAAGTAGAGTGCCACCAAAGTTCACCCAGGAACCAATGAATGTGTTAGGTATCTTACAGAGCAGGGGATGAGGGGATGAGGGCAGAGGTGGCCTTAGAAAAACAGTCTGCACGGGGGCAACGATGACTTCCCGGGATTGCTTCAATGAAGCTTTTCTCCCTACCTGTATGCTCTCGCCTCTCCCCACAAGACCACATGCCATTGGGCAGAGCTGCATAAAGATGCTTCCCGCCCCCTCCTCTGAGGGAGGGAAAGCAGGCCGAACTCCTAAAGATGGAGGATAGTCCTGTACAATGGGAGTTACCCGTGAAGCCACTGAGAGACCTCTCCTCAGAGCTAGAGGACCGGTGCTGTGGAGGGGGCTCAGGCAGTGGCAGTGGAGCAGCCGGTGTGCACCTGATGCTCACCCCTGCCACTTCCTGTACACATGTCCAGACACCCACACCTGTGCCCCGTTTCCTAGCAGCAGGCTGAGGAAGAAGACACTGGACCAGGGCAGTTTCCACACAGTCCATTGGAGGACAGGAGACATGAGGAAACATGCCTCTCAGAAGCCTGCCTTTCTCCACTGTGGGAGCTTGTGGTGTCTGACACCCCTGGCTGGGAGTCAGGGTTTAAGCCTCATGACCAGAGAGAAATGGAGGTGGATCCCAAGAAGCCTTCCATGTGCAAAGCATCTGCAAATCACATGGTCCTGGGAGAATCTCATGGAGCCATTTTCTCTGCTGCCCTATTTGGAAAGGGGCTTTCCTGTGCATTCCCAAAGCCACTTCCTTTTTAAATTCTAGGGTCTGAAGTTTTGTCTTCTTTTGCTTTTTTCTAAAGAAAATATTAAATAATAGAGAATGACCAATGTAATGTTAAATAATAAGTTGTTTCAGAGACTGTGAAAAATTATTTTAAATATTGAATGAAAATAAATAGTTCTGAAAATAAGGACTTAGTTGTTTTGTGTGCGCACATTCCTGTCAAGGCCAGTGCTGGGGCCAGAGAGACGGTTCAGAGTTTGATTCCCAGATCACAGCTGTCTGAAACTCCAGTTCCACGGGATCTGATGCCGTTGTCTGGCCTCCTCGTGCACCAGGCATGCATGTGGTACAGCCGACACACCTATACACATAAAATAATAATTTTTTAAAAAATGTTGAAGGCTCTGGGTTATGTTTTCAGTTGGTTCTGATGACCACAGAACTGTCAAGCATAGCCCGGGTCAGATCCATGTTTTAAATGACAAGGGAACTTCCGTTGGTCCTAACCGGCAACGTATGTTCACACCTTTGAAAAACAAAACGGTTGTGTTGTAGCCAGATCAGTTTGAAATGTGTACTTCCAAAAATTTACCTGTGATTCTAAAGTTCTTGCTCCTTCTGGAAAGGGTAGAGACTAGGAGACTGCTATGCCCCTACTTCAACGGAGCAGACCTTGCCCTGCAGAACACCCTTGTCAACTGTGTCTTCTCGGCATCTGGTGTCTTCCCCAGGCCTTGTCTCTACTGGCTAAGATGTCCCAGCAACCTTACATCACTGTCTGTTCCTCACTGTGGTTTTGCTTCTGGATATGCCTGAGATGGTCTCAGGCAGTTACAATCACTGTGGGCCTCAGCAACTGTGGTTTTATTTAGGCTCTTTAGTACCAGGGAGCTGCCACATGGACACAGCACGTACCTCTCAGAGACAGTAGCGGCTGGAGTGCCAAGGAATGACCAGGGAACCGAATGTGATGGGGTGGCCTCCAGGAATGTGTCTCAGATGCAGTTGCCTTGACAACCTACTGGGTGCTGGCACGGTGGAAACTCCTCCAGCTGTCACCGTCATGTGTCAGGGCTGGCTTCATGTTTCCAGAAATCAGGCCTTTCGAGCTAGCTGAGAACTCCTCTAAGCACAATGCACATCCTCTTTCTCCCACAGGAGGGTGGGGTGCCCGCGTGTGAGCTTCCCCATACGACCGACCGCCAGCTCAGCTGCCAATCCTGCATGAGAGCACTGTTGCTGGAGTCATTTCTCCTGCCTTTCAAGAATCTTTAATTGCAAAAATAATAAATGCCTTTTGCAAAGTCCAATGGGCTATAAAAGGCCCGAATACAGTGACACTTCTCAGAGGGAACAGTAGCTGTCTATACGCACATACACCTAAATACATCCATACACTAAGGTACACATTTCAACAACTGCACCCTCATCTTCTCTGTGAATCTGGAGTGAACCTAGGTGCTCGTGTGCTAGGCAAGCACTCTGGCATCGAGCTGCATCTCAGCCCCCAGCCTGTTTAGTCAGACTGAACCCGGCTCTACAGATTACCTATGGCTCTTCCTGGTGTGTCTTGGCATTATCTCACGTCTCCTTACTAAAATCCTTTTTACTTCATGACAGATTTTTAATTTTTTAAATCTTGAGACAGGGTTTGAAGTTTGTAGTTTGAGACTACATCCCTATGTAGCCCTAGATGACCAGGAACTCCATGTGCCTCTGCCTATCAAGCGCTGAGATCAAAGGCTTACAGCACACCATGCAAAAATAAAAATCTTAGGCCAACTTTCTGCTATTATCTCCGATTACAGGCACACAATATTCTACTCACATTTTTATCATGTGTGGTGCGTGTGCACACGGAAACATGAGATGGATGTCAGCTGTCTCCCTTGATGGCTCTCCAATTTATAGGGTGAGGGCTCCGGGGACCCCAGCTCTGCTACAGGAAACTGAGACTATAGGCAGATCGTTAAAATCATCTAACATTTGTCTAGGTGCTGGGACCCAAGACCATCCTTACTCTAACACAGCAGTACTACCCTGGGGCCACCTCCCGTCTAGCTCCCCACTGGTGATGCCCCTCCCCTACCTGGCTCCCCACTGGTGATGCCCCTCCCCTACCTGGCTCCCCACTGGTGATGCCCTCCCCTACCTGGCTCCCCACTGGTGATGCCCCTCCCCTACCTGGCTCCCCACTGGTGATGCCCCTCCCCTACCTGGCTCCCCACTGGTGATGCCTTTGACTATCACCTTCTAAAAATTCAGTGTTTAATAAAGTGGAGGCATCCCAGGGGAAGCTTGTCTGAGTATTGGGGTGAGAGAGGAAACTGCCAACGTAGGATGATTTGGTTTTACAGTGTACATATGGGAAGGCTAAATTTCATTGGTGCAAAAGGCCCACCTATGCCTCCAAATGTCTTTTTTTAGGAACCTTATACTTTGCCTGCTTTAGGACTTTTTACCCGACTAAACTTAATTCTCAAGTCATGTGTAGTCAGCTCTATGAAGTTTTTCTACAGCCAAGGGCTTAGCCACCACCTGCAGGGCTGTTTCAGTTTCTGTACAAAGTGCGGCAGGACACTGAGTCCAAACACCTTTAAGGTAAAAAACACCCAAACTTGTCATTTGTCTAGAATCACACTTCAGACTGAAGCAGAATGGTCACAAATTCAAGGTCAACCTTTGCTACAGAAAAAGATTATGTCTCAAATCACAAAGCAAATAAAAAAAAAAAACCTCACACCAAAAAGCAAGATCTGATGACCTCTTTCTGCAGAGGAAGTCAAAGATGAATAGAAATGAGGAAGCATGGAGAGCAGGGCAGGCGCCTCTGCAGTGGGTAGCCACTTAAGACAGACTAGTGAGAAACAAGCCCTAGACCGCACTGTCTCCTTCTGAGAAGTTCCTAGCGGCTCTCGTTGACCCAGGGGAGTCACTTCACTTCCCAAATACCCAAGAGCCCCAGTGCTGGGGCTGCTTCCTGTGGGTGACCTTGGCGCCTTTCAGAGAAAGGGCCTGTGTGCTCAGTGAATCTGCATCCTGAGATGTTCTTAGGTGGTTTTAAAGAAACACTAGGAGTGGTTGAGACACAGATTATATGGCTGGAAGAAATTCACAAAGCACTTGGAGATTTTAAACACAAAGCTTACGTTAACATCAAAGATAGGATTTTTTATTTTATTTTAAAAAGCAAATTCAAGCCCTTAAGTCAGTAATGCTTTCACGTTAGCTGTATAAAAAAATGTATTTTACATCTCCCCATACTGCATACTACCACAGTACAGAAACTTTTCTCTTCCAAAGCACTCATCACTTATAAAGTGAGAGGATGCCAGCTGCTAACGTTCACACCGGGCTCCTGTGAGGGACGGGAGCACCAGTACTTATATGGAAGACGTCTCTCTCTCTTGTGCTTGTAGCTGCAAACATGCAAGTCAATGCTTCTGGAACTTGTTCTGAAGAAAATCACAACAGACAGGGGCTCAGTGCAGACATAAGCAGCTCCATTTTATAAACGAAATTACGGCCCTCCATCTTGTTCCACTGAACCTCCTTGAATGGTCCACGCAGATGACTCCACTTGTTGTCTTGTAAAACGTCACTCTTCGGAAGGTCTTTGCATTGGTTCCGGGGAAACTGAACCATAATCTTGCTGCCACTCTCAGGTCCATTACGAACTATTGACAAAAGCAATAATCAGTACACACACTTTGAAACTTATGAAGTGATGGAAAACCTACACTTCGTCTGTGAGCACAGAAACCTACCCAACAGCTTAGACAATCTCATTAACAAGGGTTTCAGGAGCTGGTCATGGTGGTGTACACCCCTAACCCCAGTACCTAGG